CTTCCTCCAGTGAAAAAGTGTTCTGGTGTGAATCAGGAGAGAAATCTGCACAGATCAAGCAGTGTTTAAACAGCTCTAAACTAATATGTGGCTGGATTTTGAGACAACAGGAGATGGATTTATGGACTTACTATGGATTATAGACTTGTATTTGAGTTAAAAACATCTTACTGACGGATGTGTTTCAGCTTTTGTCTTCTCCAGATGTTAACTGATGGACTGGAGTGCTGTGGATTACTTGTGGATTATTGTGATGTTTTTATCAGCTGTTTGGACTCTCATTCTGACGGCACCCATTCACTGCAGAGCATCCATTGCTGAGACACTGATGCAATGCTACATTTCTACAAACCTGATGAAGAAACAAACTCAGAACACTTGTGGATGGCCTGAGTACATTTTTCTCTAATTAAATTTTTTGAGTGAACTGTTTTTTAAATACTTTCACACAATCAGTTTGACTAATACTGTATCTTATATCATGAGATTTAGAGAAACATAGAGTAGGATAAAACTTAACAAAGGCAAAGAGTCCTGAATGAAATCTTTTATTGTACGCTTGTGAACACAATATCATTTACTGAACTTTTATACAGAACATTTATTTTTTGGGGGAAAGATTTTGTGATCTATGCAAGGATGTAATCGATAAATAATCTAGTTTATATACAAGTCATTTGTTGACAGAAAAGGCTTAGTTTTATTTGTAGTAAAGAAGGGTATTTTAGTAACTGAATGTCTTGAGGGTCTCAAATATTAGATGATGTTCTTATAAATGCAAGTTTCTTTTACTGCTTTTATCTTGTGTACAAGAACGTTCTGTTGTGATTGAGTTTCGATTCAGTTTAACATCAGTTCTGGATCTGAATCCGAATCTTACCGATGTTTTCTCCAAGATCTGACAGACCACCGGGAAACTTCCAAGCATTCTTCGTCTGAGAAGGAAAGAAAGTCATGTTTAACACGTGCATGTTATTTTAGCTGTACACTTAGCTGTATTTCTTAGAAATATATTTTTATTGGAAATTAGTCATTTTATCTTTCTGCTATTTTATTGTTTTTATATCACACGTTCACAGATGATCTAAATATTATTTATATCTATCAACACAATATTAAATATTTTCATAAAAATGTTATCTTATAGGGTTTCGATTTGAGACAGTACACAGTATTTCCATATTGAGTTTTAAAAGAATATAGAAAATGCTGCTAGTTATGAATGAAACTTTGATTCTTACTTGAGTGGTTTTTGGTCAATTGAAAAAAAAAATATATATACAGTGTAATGTAACAGCTTTAAAGGTTTGTGACCTGAGAATCTTCTGTACTATCAATAAAAATCAATGAGTATTTTTGTGGGCAATTATGTCTGAAGAGTGTTTTTTAATTCTATCATTAATATGAAGTATTTTCTGCATTGCAAATGAAAAACAAATTCAGTGTTTTGTACAACAATGAAAACATTTAATGTCTTTAAATAACATTGTTTTCTAAACACTATAAATGTATAGCTCATAATACCTTACATACTGTTTAATAGATTTGATTTTTAAAAATAAATTAGCAAAAAAAAAAGTAAACAGGAAGTGTTAAAGTGATTTATACTCTGTTCCTGTTTCCTCTTTCATGTTCTCATTGTTAACTCCTGATTGTTTTCACCTGTTTCTTGTTACTCTATTACGCTGAGTGTATTTAAGCCCTTGTGTTTTCACTGTTCTTTGTCAGGATTTATCCATTGTTTGTATGCTTAGGTTTGCTCACTATGTTTCCCGTTACTTGGGATTGGTTTTGGACGATCGTAGTTCCTAGATTTATGCATTTTATGATTTTGTTGTTTTGATAAACTTTAACTGCATTTGGATCCCATTCTCCCTCGTCTGCAAATGTAGCAATCCATCCTCTGCAGTGAATGGGTGCCGTCAGTATGAGAGTCCAAACAGCTGATAAAAACATCACAATAATCCACAAGTAATCCACAGCACTCCAGTCCATCAGTTAACATCTGGAGAAGACAAAAGCTGAGACAAATCTAGCATTAAGACGTTTTTAACTCAAATACGAGTCCATAATCCATAATAACACTTCTGCCAAGACGTCTGGTCTGAATTAGGGCTGCTCGATTATAACAAAAACCATAATCATGATTATTTTGGTCAATATTGTAATCACGATTATTTAACACAATTATGAGGGGGCCAAATGAGCAAAACTTTATATGAGTGATTTATTTAAAGATAGTGATACACATCAAATATATATTTCCTGTAAATAAGGTTGCTATGACATCTACATTGTAGAGACCAGC